AGAATGTGAGGTGTTCCTTTGTTCGGACTGTGCAAAACATCCCACAAAACCAAGAACATCGAAAGACCATAACACCATGCCTCCTAAAGACTGCCATAAATTACCAATATTTATGCTTGAAATAAGTAGCCAGCGCCGAGACCACAAGAAGAAGTTTGAACTTTACTGTTCTTTCCACGACTGTCCCTGCTGTGTAACATGCATCACCGATAAACACAAAAAATGTCAAGAAATAAAACCACTGTCACATATCCTAGGTCAAGTAAAATCATCTGCTTCAGTTCAACTTTTTGAGCAAGATTTGAAGAATGTGAAGGAAAACTTAGAGGAGATTATAAAATATTTGAACAACCGGATTAAAACAAGCAATAGTCAGAAAACAAAAGCTGCTGAGCAAATTCGATCTATGAGGAAGTCGATTGATGATTTCTTAAACAAATTAGAACAAAAAATTCTTGATGACATAGAATCAAAGCAATCACAGATAAAATCTAAGATGAACACTTTACTACAACAGCTGAAAAAAACAAGACAATCAGATAAGCCAATTGCAAAGTGAATTTTCAAAAATGACACAATATGCAACTGAGCTACAAACGTATGTTGGTCTGAGAGAAATTGAGAAAACTACATCCAAAGCAGCAAAATATATAGATGAATTAAAAAGTGGAGAAAATTTGGAGGAAAAGAACTTAGAGGTAACCATTTCATCTGCCCTGCAATCATTTTTACAAGATGTCAAATCGTTTGGTGATATTAATATCAATACCAGCCAATCAACTCTTCAAATGAAGGCCGGAAGAAAAAGATCAAGCACAGAACTTAGTTCCAACTGTTGCTGGAAATGAAGAAATTAACCCATCAATGTTAAGAACTCTGACAATTCTAGAACCATTGGGTGTACGTGGTTGTAGGATATTACCTGATGGAAAATAGCTAGCTTTTAATGACTATATCAATTATGAAAGGCATGTCCTCCTGCTATTTGGTAATAACGGCATCTTTGAAAGAAAAGTAATTACATTCACAGAATATCCTTATGGTTCTTGCTATGTCACAAATAATACAGGTGCTGTCGCATTAGGACTTAACAACAAGACGGTATTGGTGGATGTAGAAAAGAATCAAATTATTCAAACAATTAAACTTTCTCATCCTTGTAATGGAGTAGCAAGTGATGGTAAAATATTGGTCATCAACAGCAAAGAGACAAGTACTATTGTTATTCTGAATGATATGTCTCAAACAATCTTAGAAGGAGTAGGAGCAACACATATATCATTATTTGAAGGTAATATCTATGGTACCATTTTCTCTGAAAACAAAGTCTGCTGCTACAAAAAAAACTGGAGAACGTCTCTGGACTTTTCAGCACCGAGACATTGCCAGCCCAGTAGGACTTACATTAGACAAGAATGGCTTTGTTTATATAGCTTCTCGTAACAACAACAGAATAGTGGTAGTATCACCAGATGGTCAAACCTGTAAGACAATACTGACAGAGGCTGATGGAATCATTTTTCCTGTAAATATAGACATACACAGAGAAACAGGAATGCTGATTGTGTCAAGTAAAATAAAGAAAGCAAGTGTTGAGAATGAGGATAGACGTGATCATTACCAAACAGCTTTTATTTATAAAATCTAAAATTGTGAATTTTAAGAGACTTCTTTGTAGACAAATCAACATGCATACATCAGGGAAAGTGTATTGCTGATACCCAAATAAAAGTACAAAATGATTTCTAGTGTGTTGACAAAAAGTGTTAAGAAAATAAGATGTTCATAAATTCTGCTAAGTGCATTGTGGTAACTAAGTACAAGATAAAAGACTGTGTTTAAAGCAAGAAGAACTGGTTCTAAAAATTTAGAACAAATGTTCTTCATTAATTATTGAGTGAGAAACCTAGATATTAGAATTGACCCTTATCTCTCATGTGCAGGGCATATAAATAACCTTTGTTCATCTATTTCACTTAGACTAATAAAAAGTAAATAGTCTAGATGAAATAGATGAACATTATTTACTAAATTCAGAAATTTTTAAATATTGGTTCCAAAAAATATTTTATAATGTTAGTATTTTTCAACTGATTGATTGTTGTTTGAAGTGAATGTGCTTAAAATTACTTAGTGAGAATAATTAGATTTCATAAAAGGGCTACAAGACTTATTTCAGATGGTGATCCATATTCAGCCTCAGCACCACTGTTTAAACAGCTTGGGAGATGACAATAGATAACATAATCCGATACCATCAATCTGTTTTGACGCATAAATGCATCAATTATAAAGCCTTCTTATATCTTAGTCAAAAATGTAAAGAAATGTCTGAAAATAATGAATATTGTTTAAGGAAAACAGCTTACAAAAGATTGCAAGAATCAGAACCCAAATAAGAGTTATAAAAAAATCATTCATATATTTAGGGTCTTCTTTGTGGAATGCCTTTCTATCATCACTCACACAATCATCCTCAAGCACTAGTGTTCATTAAAAGAAGATATGAAAAAATGATTGTTGTAAAAATAATAGTGTATTACTTATATGCATATTTGTCACACTTGCTTTAAACTGAGGGATAGTCTTGAAAAGTATTCAAAAGAAATAAACAATATTATTTGGAATTTTATATGAAATGGGAAAGTTGTCCAAAAAGAAAGACCAGATATAACAAATGGTGGAATGGGAATGATTAATATCGATTTATTCATTATTCTCTTTATCTCAATCATCATGAACTATTAGAAAGCTGGAATGCGATTGGTAAGTGTTGGCTTACAATTTGATAACAAGTATAATGATTAATATTCAGTCACAGTTTTGTTTGCCTCATATATTGACTTACATCTATAAATTGACAATGAAGGTAGGTTGAGAAAAAGACTTTACGACAAAAGTGATGATTTCAGCTTTCCAATTGTGAACTTACCATTTCTATGTAGCAACATTCCAGCAGCACTTGTATATGGAGAATGCATCTCCAAATTAATACGTTATTCTAGAGTATGCGTTTCCTATCATATGATTTCCTTGATAGTGAGTTGCAGCTAACAAAGAAGCTATTTAACAAGAAATCATCTCTTTGCTAATTTACGGACGCTATGACGAGTTGGTTGACCGTTATGGAATATCTGTTTCACAAATAACGATTGATATATTCCAATTGTTGTTAGCACAATCCCGTCCTCTTGTCCTCGAACGTGACCTACCGAATTAGACTTATCACCGGATTAGTACTCACATAAGCTACACAACGGGTGCAACATGTGATCTGCTTACCCTTCAGGAGAACATGAGATCACCCCCAATTTTTGGTGGGGTTCGTGTTGCTTAGTCTAAATGTTTGTTGTTGTGTACTGTCTTTTCGTTGTTTTTTTTTTTTACTTTTTGCGATGGCATTGTCAATTTGTTTTCGCCTTATGAGTTTGAATACTAGTATCACTTTGGTATATTTCGTCTCTCTTCTACGAAGAAGTTCGAGGTGTATAAGTTTCTATCTTTAAAATAACAAGCGGTAGATATGAATTATACTAGAATCGTTATTCTGACTGATGAATCTCACATTCAAACAGAATCAGATGTTGATGCCCGATTATAGAAGGATTTTTTAATTTCCACCTGGTACTTCTAGCAAAGTTGTAAAAAATGTAATTGAATTTGAAATTTCAAGGGATAGATATCTCTCAGATGTAATTTTGCATTATAATCAGGTACATGTTTCTGTGTATGACAAGCAGATGAAAATTGAGACTTTGAATTTAAAACAGACCATTAAACTGTTATTCACTCATCACACAAAGAAAAGCAGAACACATATAGTATTTCCCCAAAACCAACAATGGGAAAGCAAAAATGTGTCTGGAAAGATAAAAAAACATCCCTCAAAACCGCACGTGAAGGAGTTATAGGGTTAAGTTTAACCTAGTCTAATCAAAGCTTGCAACGTTTAGAATTACCACCATTCTCACATAAAGTAAAACATCCTGTAGTTCACCCTGACAATGTTCGTGCTGAATCTTCTGATTCAGACATAAATGATCATGAGAAGATGGCGATTTTTATTCGTTTTGTATCTTTCTGAATTGCTCTGAACTTGACCAGCTTCGGTCTCACCCCATGTGGAATTTACTGACCCCATATATATTGTATTAGGTCACTAGCACACTGTTGTAACTTACTAATAGTATTACATTCTCCATATGGAAATCAAAATAAGGAGATATAATACGCTTGCCAATGAGAAATTATACACCTCAGTATAAATGATGTGGATGCAAGAAACTATAGGTTACCATACGACTTTCAACAATGAGAAAAACCGATAACATATAGTAAGCCTAGACATAACAATATAAACAACAAAAAAACCAAAGTTTAGTCTAGTGGGTGGAGATAATTATGCATAGTATGAATAGTTGTGCGGGGAAGATCATTTTATTTGCTGGGGGCAAAATGCCTTTTAACAGAATATTGATTTACACCTGTAGCTTGTCTGGCTTTTTTTTTTTTAAATTTTGTTTAGCTTTGCTGACATTCAGATCTTGTCTTATCAGCTTTATTGGAATAACATTTACAGTACCAAGTTTACTGCACCAAATGTACATTTTGACAACTAATGTCTCTTCAGTGGTGCTCCAGGCCAAAATATTTGACAATCAAAAACCTAGCACAAAAGTCGCAGATCTGATAAAAACCAAAAAGGACCTTAATGATAGCTAAATCCAGACAAGGATGTGGAACCAGTCTGAAATATTATCATTAATTGACATGAAACATTATACTGAGCATACATATACTATTGGTTATCGCTAATTAAAATATACAGGTATCGGTAAAACAATTTTTGATAATTTCTTTAATAATTATCTATGTTAAAGTTCTCGAGAGGTATTACTCCAAAAAAGCTCTCATATTCCGTAGGAGAATTTTTTAAATGCATTTTTAAAAAAAGAGTCATGTAACTGACTTTAGGGCATAAAACATTAATGATGCAAACACCCTGTTTACTTTTTTTTTTATTAAAGTTCAGTATTAGACAAAATATCACAGCTGATTAATATGATACAAATACAATATTACAGAGCAAACCACTAACAACTTTTTCAAAGTACAAAATAAACACTTGATTAGATAACAAAACTTACAAATCAATACATCAAATACCCCAATACAGTGCTTCTTTTGCCGTACTTTATCTTCAATATTCCTGGCAGGTCTTCCAACTATGATCTAACTCAGGTTGTACAGCTACATCAGGACAGTTTTTATTATACACTTAAGCAATACTCTGTGATATTCATAGATTACTAGTTACAGAAGTTTTTGAGACTTGTGAAAGTAATGATTGTTTTACAAATATAACTGGTGAAATCTTACTATATAATAAACTCCATAACAGGTTGTCAAATAGGAAGACAATTTCAAAGCAACATCAAATCCTTATAGAAGAACTATGGATTGAAATACAAGGTTACAGACTTCATTTTCTTCTATGATCACAGATGAGGCTTAAAATTCTGATAAGTCTTTAACCATAAGTCTTGTCAAATGTTTTTGAGCTTATTATGAAACAAATCAAACTCCAATCCAGAAATACATCTTTGCATCCAATTGATAGAGGTAAAATGAATACTGAATTCAAAGTATAACTGATCATTCCATTTAATTGAAGCCAAGAAAAGTTTGATATAAATTTTCCTTGTACAATGAGTGTTGTATAATTTCAATTTATTGACAAACAGGAAGTAGCTGGCTGCAATGAATGAAAAAAAAATCAAGAATGCACATCATGCTAAGCATACCCGCAATTGTAATTTTTAAAGAATCTGAAAGCTTGCAAAAGGTGTCTGGCAGAACCAAAAAAAAAAAATCCTACAGTACAACTCAAAACTGCCAAGCTGGTGCCCAAATATAAAATCATCTGGAGAAATTTGTGACAAATATTTTTAAGGTCATATAACATATTGAAAAATTCAAAGTAAAAGGTATTGACAAACATAAACTAGATGGTGTCTGACAGATCAGAAAAGTACTCACACATTACAAGCCATCACTGTTAAGTTGCTGACTAAATGATAAGTTATCAGTACTACTTGGAAAAATATAAGAAATATTTGTTGAATGAACGGAAGAACTGGTAATTTGACAAGCTTAAGGTGAATGCAATAGAGTTGTAATATTTTTTTTTAAAATAACTCATTCTAATATATTATTCACAGGTATCAATTTAACAACAGAAAACTAGAACAAAATTATTAATATAATTTGAAAAAAATATACTTAAATGAGATCAAAGTTAAAACATTTATACTGACTTAAAACTGAAAAAAGCTTAAAAACAAAATTATAAACATTCATGATAACTATGGGTTCATTCTGATATGAATTAAATATATAGACTAGGTAGGACTGCCTGATTGCCGATTGATTGATTCTTAATATACAGTGGCAAATACTTCGTGGACTAGAATATGCTATTTCTAAATTATAAAATTTTCGTCACTGAATTAAGAATAATATTACTGTTTGGTAAAATTAAAGCTCTGTCTATTTATGAGCTGTGATGTAATGTATACACCGGTAATTTTAGTACAATGGTCAATTAAAACACTTGCACATGTGTACACAAATAATTTCATATATACATTAATGCTGAACATTATCTTAACATATATATATATATATTGTTCCTTAACTAAATGTATCTTCGATGATTTGTATACTTTCTTGTCTATGTACTTCACCAATACCTGTAGCAGGAGAACCTAAATGATCTCTTCCAACATACTGTAACTACAATAGAATGAAAACAATTTTAGTAAGTAAATTCCTGTATATAAGTGAAATAAAAAGAGGGTCGTGATGGAGGTTTTTTTTATTTCTTTATTCGTTATTTTTTCCACATTTTTCTCTAAGTCTTCTTTTTTTGTTCATAATTCACTTTTCTTTATATTTTAGCACCCCTTTATGACCATTATTCTCTATTTATTTTTTTTTTTTTTTTTTTTTTTTTTTTTTTGGTCCGTTGTTCATACTAACAGCTAATAATATGTAATATGTGAAGAAAAACTGAAATTCTGTTGGAAACCAAAATGAAAAAAAAACATTGTATGATTTGTAATTAATTTTAATGTAATTGAAAAAAATATATATATGGCACAGAATTTCTAGGCATAAAAAAGTAAACAGGGGTTGTGATTCTAAGTAACAGACAAAAGTAATATAAAATGCAATGACCATTTCGTGGAAGGTGCAAGAAAAATCCAGACATTTTCTCACCCAGTTAAAGCTAATCAATGTTTCTTATAAATAAGGTTTTTTTCACTTTCACTTTATTTTTTTAACCCAATATGTTTGTCGTTTTTTTTTATTATATGAAATGATTCAGAAGTATTTCTTAAATAGATATAAGAAGATGTGGTATGAGTGCCAATGAGACAACTCTCCATCCAAGTCACAATTTGTAAAAGTAAACCATTATAGGTCATTGTATAAAGATAAATTTTAAAACCATACCTTGCATCCAACTAAATTGTTAAATCTTGGAGAGACAAATGTCCATGCTCCCATATTCCTGTGTTCTTCCTGACTCCAAAGGAAATCTGAAATACAACAATGAATATCCTGGTAAACAAAATTTCTTGCTTGAAATACTATGGAATATTCTTCTAACTGTTAGCTCGCCAGGATATGACCTTCTGTTTTGATGCATTGTAAAGTAGCCATCGATCAATGAATCTAAACTGTTGACTGTAAAAATACTCAATTTGAGGTCAGAAATGGCATAAAAATGAGATGTGGTATGATTGCCAATGAGATACTTATCCACTTAAGTTCAAATAAAGTGGATGTGAGCAATTTTAGGCAACTGTACGTCCTTCAACAATGAGAAAAACCCATATAGTATAGTCAGCTATTAAAGGCCCCGACATGAAAAATACGAAACAATTCAAATGAGAACACTAACGGCCTAATTTATTTAATGAATGGCTATTATTTATTTTGAATTTATTGAACCATAAAATTAATTTTTTACTCTTCACATTGAATAATCCGTGAAGCGGATTATGTAAAATGTAAAGAGTCAAAAATTAATTTTATGGTTCAATAAATTCAAAATAAATAATAGCCATTCATTATAAATAAATCTCTATCAAAAATAAGGCTCAAAGAGCTTTTTATATTATTTATATTAACAATAACAACGTACACACATGTTGGCGTATGAATACACAACGTCAGAGTGGGCGTGTCGCCATAAAAATTAACAACATTGAAAATAAAGGTAACACTTTTAACCAATCAGAAGACAGTAAATACACCAAATTTTTTACAACAAAACAATTTACAAAAAAACAAATATGTATTGTTTGATGTCTAATGATCAACATAAATAGTATACCTCCATGGCAGTTTTGATATAATTATCTTAGTTTTTCATTTGATGCTAAAAGCTGTTAAAAAAGGCCACAAATAAATCAGATTAACATCCTCAAAATCATGTATTTGACTTAACAGATTCACACAGAACTATAGGGCAAAGGTTAATGTTTAATATATAACTTCTACATCATTGACATACCAGAGGGTAGAAATTCCCTTTATCATCAAGCGTCAAATCTCATTTTGTAGCTACCATTAGCGTCAAATGGAGTAAAATGTTCATTGTAAATGTTATTCTAACAAATATTTTACCATCATTCATCATGTGGGGTACCGCATTCCTACCCTCATACCAAACATGCCAGAATTGTTACTTTGAGAAAAATATAAGGAGAAAGGATTTATCTTCAATTTTTGGCCATTTTACTTAAAACCTTTTTGATATATACTTGAAAAAAAAAATTATGAACCTGAATAAGGTGACAATATATAATTATTTTGATGATGCCTAATTTCTATCGTCTCTTTACACGGTAAATAACTTCTGATTTTCCAAGTTTATTCAACTTTAACATGTAATTTTCAGATCATTCATGGACATACAAAATATTTACTTACACATGTTGGATTCTATTTAGATTGTTAGACAAAGTCTTTCAAAGAATTATTTAGAAAAATTGTAAGCTACTGAATTTAATGCAGCTCTGGCAGAACCTTTTTAAATAAATTTATCTTGTTGAACCTGTTTGATTATGACCACTAATAATTTTTCCTCTACCTTCTTTAACATTATGGAAGTTAAAATGACAGATGTAATAACTAAAAAATACCTGTAGCATTAGGATATTTGGTTACTTCTTGTTGAATCTCCCCTGCTGGGAATGGACATAGACTCTACAATGTATAAATTATAAATACAAAAACTAAATTATTTTATTAAGTGGTTTTTCCTAGAATATTATACTTGATCTCTTTTAAAGATATATCTAAGAAACAAGAATATGCGTCCATGTGACATCGCCCCCCCCCCCCCCCCCTATCGTGTTCATGTTCAGTGAAACTTCATAATACACTACTTTAACCTAACTGTTGCACAAACTAAAAAAACATTATGCCCCTATACCACTGTAGGTGTATCCTATAGATAGTACTCAGGTCTGTACACACTAAAATTAGCAACATAAACATAGCATTGTTTACATTCTTGTCCTCTGGTCTTTGGTGGGTAGACGTCTCATTGGCAATCATACCACATTTCTTTTTTTTTTCATTGAATAATAAAAGAAGAATGTGTCTGAGGACTCGAAAGCCCCCCTCAAGCTTTGCAATTTTCCAAGTTAAAAAGGAGCATAGCTCTGGAGCGGTAAATGATGTATAACCCAAAATGGAACTCTGTCTGTGTGTTGTGGTTCATAGCATTGTGTATGAGTTTCATAAAATTTTTGGATGAGACAAACTTAACTTAGAGTGTGGAAACCAAAAAATTAGCAATTTTCCCAGTTATAAAGGGTCATAACTCTAGAACAGTAAGCAGCGTACTGCCCAAATTCGATCTCTATCTACTACTTTTGGTTCTTAGCATTGAGTATGAGTTTCATAAAATTTGGATAAGGAAAACTTAACTTAAGAGTGAGGAAACGAAAAATTTGCAACTTTCCAATTATAAAGGGGCATAACTCTAGAACGTTAAGTGACTCACTGCCAAAATTCAAACTCTGTCTGTGAGTTTTGGTTCTTAGCATTGTGCACGAGTTTCTTAACATTTGCATGAGGCAAACTTTAATAAAAGTGCAGAAACTAAAATGGGATTAACGGAAAGATGGACGGAAGGACGGACAGAAAGACAGACAAGGGTAACTCTTAATGCCCCCGCTGCCTATGGCAGGGGCATAAAAATACCTGTTTCAAATGGAATTTACTCTTAATTATTTTCATACTAATAAGCAAATTGGCAAACCAAAAATCAATAAAAGTATTGTGAAGGAGAGATTTTCCCACAAGCCACAAAGTTGGTATCATAAGTACAAGAGGCTCATGAGAGCCTGATATCCCTCACCTGTAATTTCAGTTTCAGGCATTTGACTTATTTGTAGATCTTAATTTGCTGAACAATTTTGTCATTTACACTTTCTCTCTTTCTATAATAATATTATAGATAATACATAACCCAAAACTGTAAAATTTCCTAAAAATTCCTAACTATTTCTTGACAGTAACCCAACAATAAGTTGTCCTATTGTTCTAAAAATTACTTGACAGGTAGATCTAAACCTGTTTAACACTTTCACCTATGTCAGTTTTGCTCTTACTGCTTTATTTTTGAGATGAAAGCCAAAAACTTCATTTGACCCCTATGTTCTATTTTTAGAAACTGCCGCCATGTTTTTGAATGGATCAAATCCCAGAATACAATCTATAAACTAGATACCCTAAGGAACATTCAATTAAAGTTTTTAAGTATTTAGCCAAGTAGTTTCAGAGAAGAAGATTTTTGAAAAAGTAATTAGTCTTTCACAAAAAATGTAAAAAAAAAATTGTTTCAAGGGCAATAACTCCTTAAGGAGTCAACTGAATATTTTGATCTTTTGACTTATTTGTAGATCCTACTTAGCTGAACATTTTTGCAACTTTACACTTTCTCTCTATCTATTATAATATTAAAGATTATAACCAAAAACAGTAAAATTTCATAAAAATAAACTATTTCAGACAGTAACCCTACAATGGGTGGTCATAGCAGATAGATCTTGACTTATTCATCACTTTAACTCCATGTCATTTTTGCTCTAACTGTGATCTTGACTTATTCATCACTTTAACTCCATGTCATTTTTGCTCTAACTGCTATAGTTTTTGAGATAAAAGCCAAAAACTGCATTTGACCCTAAGTTCTATTTTTAGACATGATGGCCATGTTTGTTAATGGATCAAAACTTCGGATACAATTTATAAACCAGTTACCCTAAGGAACATGCAGTTAAAGTTTAGAAGTATTAGGCCCAGTATTTTCAGAGGAGAAGATTCTTGAAATAGTTTACGAGGACAACAACAACAGACGATGACGACGAACGCCAAGTGATGGCATAAGCTCACATGGGGCCCTTCGGTTCCGGTGAGCTAAAAAGGACATTCACAGTCTACATTATAAGTACCTCTATTCTCACAAGGGCTACATCTTCTAACTTTCTGGAATCCCTCTCCTTGTCCAATGTATAAAAATGTTTTCCACTACAGAAAATGACCTTTTTAACCTTGTCACCTTTAACTTTCTTATCACCAATCACTGGTAAGAATGTTTTTCCAGGTAACATATCTTCTAAGGTAGAAGTTGCTGCAGGTAAACGTAATATGGTTTTAGGAGCTACCACAACCAAAGGTTTTCTGAAGTTCCGAATCACCTGACGTCTAAGAAGGTGGAAGTATTGAGCTGGAGTTGTAGCGTTCACGACCTGAAGGTTGACATTGTCTCCGTCTACTTTGTGTTCACTACTGTCTGTTGCCTGTAAATAATTGTTTCAAATTAAAAACAGGACAACAAGATGACACTGAACTAATTATCTCCATCTTGCATCACACAAGAAAATATGTTAGGCTTTGCTGCACAACTTTAAACTACATTTTTTCATTAAAATGGAACAATAACTTGGTCAAAATATATTTCTTTTGACCATTTTCAATTTTTCTTAAACACTTAAACAACTTTCAAAATATTTTTTTATTGATGAAATTAATAAATTTTTAGATTATAACTACAAAAATTCAATTGTCCCAAATTCTCTAGAATTTTTTTTTTTTTTTTTACAAAACCAGACCTGCCAACCTCCATGATTCTGGGGGATTTCCCCATGAGAGGTGTTGACCTGAATTTTGAAAATCTTCACATGTATTATATAAACTTAACACCTCAAAACAGGCATTCAAATGAGTTAAAAGGGTATTTAAGCTCATTCATACTCATTCAAACAAATAGTTGTAGATCAAAAACATTTAAGACAATATAAAAGGAGCATTAGGTACTCATGCTCTCAAAGTCGGCCATGGAGATTTTGAAAGGTTAGCAGGAAAGCAAAATAATTCTTAACCTAAAAATGCAACTTGATACAGATTGCTTAATTGACTAGTTTCATTTTATTGTTATCGTCCATATTTCATCACAAGATTGATCTCCCTTACGTTAAATAAAATTCACATTGCTGTTAACATTTGAAGATTCACAATATATACATTTATTTCTGAATTTACAGTATTCTGTGGTTTAAGTATGTAAAACATCAATAATAACTTTGTCAAGAAGTATTCGATAAAAAATAAATATGATAACATTAGTTTTACAAACATCAGCCTTTGATATAAATGACCTTGATATTATGATATTACAATGTACCTGTAGAAACCTTTCAATTTAACATGATAAGTGTTCAGGTCCTGCTCCATCCATGCCATGTGGTAATAACATCACTAAGTCACTCTGTAATAACCATTTTACAAACCTTGACCTTTGACATACATGACCCTGATCGTTTGATATTACCTGTAGAAATCTTTCAATTTTACATGATGAGTGTTCAGGTCCTGCTCCATCCATACCATGTGGTAATAACATCACTAAGTCACTCTGTAATAACCATTTTACAAACCTCGACCTTTGACATAAATGACCTTAATCATTTAATATTACCTGTAGAAATCTTTCAATTTTACATGATGAGTGTTCAGGTCCTGCTCCATCCATTCCATGTGGTAATAACATCACTAAGTCACTCTGTAATAACCATTTCACTAAAATAAGATAAGATAATTCATTAACAATCTCAAACCTATCAATGAGTTTGACTTTCAGTGATCCTTCTTTGTAATACCTTCTTACAACTGGTATTACATATAGATTAGAAATAAACTCATCATAGATACCAGGCTTAAATTTTATACGCCAGATGTCTTTTTGTCTACAAAAAACTCATCAGTGATGCTCTAATCAAACTAGAGGCTCTAAAGAGCCTGTGCTGCTCATCTTGGTCTATGTACATATTCAACAAAGGACACTCTCCAACATTGAAGACAAGAATAGAATTCATAAGAAAAATCTCTGTTTTGTTGATCTTGTATTGCTGATCATTTAGTCTGTTTAGTTTCTCTCTATCTTCTTTAGTTTTTGCTCAAAACACAAAAGAGGGTAAAAAAATCCTTATTTAAGGGGTTGGGCAATCACTCCTATAAAGAGTGACAGCCAACTACCTTTATCAGCAAAATGTGACTTGTTAGTAGATCGGACAATTTCCTCTATATTGTCTTAATTGTACATCTTGTCTTGCTGATCATTTTTGCCTATTTAAGTTTCTATCTATCTATCATAATTTTTAAGAAATAAGGCAAAAACGCAAAATATTGTAAAAATCATCATCAAAGGGCAATAACTCTCATAAGGAGTAATCTGACAATTTTGACAATGTCAAACTTATTTGTAGAACTTGTCTTGCTGATCATTTTTGCATTTTAATGTTTCTCTATTATAGTTTTCAAGATAATAGGCAAAAATGAAAAAAAATGGTAAAATTTGTCATTTAAGGGCAATAACTCCTATAAAAAGTGGTCTGACAATTTTGACGTAAATAGACAGTTGGTAGAGCTCAACATTCTGAACATTTTCGCCCTGTCAGATTTTCTCTATTCATAACGGTTTTCAAAAAATTGACAAAACTTGCATTTTACCCCTATGTTCTATTTCTAGCCATGTCGGCCATGTTAGTTGGCAGGCGGGGTCATTGGACACATTTTTAAAACTAGATACCCTTAGGATGATTGTGGCCAACTTTGGTTAAATTTGTCTCAGTAGTTTCAGAGGAGAAGATTTTTGTAAAAGATTACAAAAATTTACGAAAAATTGTGAAAAATTGACCTTTCAAAGTCAATAACTCCTTATGGGGTCAATTGACAATTTGGGTCATGTTGACTTATTTGTAGATCTTACTTTGCTGAACAATTTTGCTGTTTACAGTTTATCTCTATCTATTATAATATTCTAGATAACCAAAAACTGCAAAATTTCCTTAAAATTACCAATTCAGGGGCAGAAACCCAACTACAGGTTGTCTGATGTGTTTCAAAATTTCAGGGCAGCAAGATCTTGACCTGATGAACATTTTACTCAGTTTTGCTCTAAATGCTTTAGTTTCAGAGATATAAGCCAAAAACTGCATTTTACCCCCAGGTTCTATTTTTAGCAATGGCGGCCATCTTGGTTGATGGGCGAGGTCATAGGATACATTTTTTATACTAGATACCCTAAGGATGAATTATGCCAAGTTTGGTTAAATTTGGCCCGGTAGATTCAGTGGAGAACATTTTTGTAAAAGATTACCAAAATTTACGAAAACTTGTGAAAAATTGACTTTAAAGGGCAATAACTCTTTATGGGGTCAATTGACAATTTTCGTCATGTTGACTTATTTGTAGCTCTTACTTTGCTGAACAATTTTGCTGTTTTACAGTTTATCTCTATCTATTATAATATTCAAGATAATAACCAAAAACTGCAAAATTTTCTTAAAATTACCAATTCAGGGGCTGCAACCCAACAACAGGTTGTCTGATCGATGCGTCTGAAAATTTCAGGGCAGATAGATCTTGACCTTATGAACATTTTTTACCCCCATGTCAGATTTGCACTAAATGCTTTAGTTTCAGAGATATAAGCCAAAAACTGCATTTTACCCCCATGTTCTATTTTTAGCCATGGCTGCCATCTTGGTTGATGGGCGGGGTCGTCGGATACATTTTTAAACTAGATACCCTAAGGATGATTTAGTTTGGTTTAATTTGGCCCTGTAGTTTCAGAGGAGAAGATTTTTGTAAAAGATAATGGACGACGGACAACGACAGACGCCAAGAGATGAGAAAAGCTCACTTGGCCCTTTTGGGCCAGGTAAAAGGGCCAGGTGAGCTAAAAAGTTAAAAGGCCAAATACAGTACAAAGTTGAAGAACATTGAGGACCCAAAATTCTTTAAGGTTTTCCTTAATACAGCTAAGGTAATCAAATTCCTTGGGTAAAAAATCCTTAGGGATTTCGAAAAATTCAAAGTTTTGTAAACAGTTAACATTTTAGAGTGGATCCATTTTCACCAAACAATAATTTTTATCCACCAAAAAACTAATATCTATAGTTTGTTTAACAAAGGGAGCAATGTGGTGGATCATGGGAAATTGAATTTGTGTTTTTAATGTGTCCTACCTTGAAATTTTTATATTATAAAAAATAAATTGCTTCGCCGAGCACAGCTGGATATGACCGCAGAGGTCCACCCCTGAACAGTTGGGGCAAAAATGGACACAATATTCGCGCTTGATACAGGTCTGAATTTGGATTGTAATTAAATATTTGACACATAATAGGTTTCTGACACAGAATAACTGTAGTCAAAGAACTTAGAATTGGTTATAAGATTTGAAATTATATTCAATTTTTTGCTTTTGTGCAATACACTATGCTGTTGCGAATTGACTCCCCTCCCCCCCCCCCCCCCAAAAAAAAAAATTTTTTTTTTTTTTCTTTTTAATTTCTGAAATCTGAAATGAGAATAAATTGTCCCCCCTCACAATTTCTTTTTTACCCCCCCCCCCCCCCCCCCCCCCCCTTTTCCAAAAAAAAAAAAAAAATTCTTTCCCTCAAGATATGGTCACATTTCCAATGGAGTTTGCAACCATAATTACCCATTTAAATACATTATAAAAGTCTTAAAATAGAAAATGACATACATAATCATGGCTAAAATTAATATATTAATATCGACGACGACGTGATACCAATATACGACCGCAAAATTTTTTGCGGTCATATAAAAAGTTTCTAAAAGAAAAAAACAATTTCCAACCCATAAAAGACAACAGTTAATTTTGATATACATAATACATACACTCTCCACTAGCTATATATGTATCTATCATAATCTGTGCTCCATTGAAGAAGTCTCCAAACTGTGCTTCCCATATAATTAGACTTTTAGGATCATCTATACTCATACCATACTCAAATCCTAACACAGCTTCTTCTGACAGGGAACTATTAGCTAACTGTAAATAAATAAAGTAAGATGGTTAGGGGTCATCTATACTCAAACCATACTCAAATCCTAACACAGCTTTTTCTGACAGAGAACTATTTGACAATTTGACCATTTTGACTTACTTGTAGACCTTGCTGATCTTTTTTACTTTTTAAAGTTTCTATCTAACTCCTCAAGTTTTGACAAAAACGCAACAATGGATAAAAATCAACATTCAGAGGAAATGACTTCTGTAAGGTGTTTTGTTGACATTGTGGCCATGATGACTGATTTTTAGATCTAAATGTGCTGAACAATTTTGCTTTTTTACTGTTTTTGCTCTATCTATTATAGTTTGTGTGTAAAAACTACAAAAATGAGAAAAAAAAATTATACATCAAGGGCAAATACTCCTATCAGAGGTCAACTGACGATTTTCAACCATGATGACTTATTTGTAGGTCTCATTTTGCTAAATATATCTATCTTTGTTTCTGCAAAATAATCATCAAATGGATAATAAAAAAGGTCTAAAACCACTAATTCATAGCCCCGTTGATTTCTATGTTAAATTCTGCAATTTAAAGCATTAATGGCACCTTTGTTTTAAGTTCAAATAAAGTGGTAGTCATTTCATGTCAAAACTACACCTTATCCTGACTTGTGATAAAATTCCATCAAGGTCCAAAAACTCAGATGGAAACAGATGAGTGCCCCCAAGGATTTAGGAGTTTGGATTAATTCACCTTCAATAAAGTCATGAGAAAAAAAATAATAATAACAAAAATATATGTTTACATACTGATTCACAATAATGACACTAATAGTATTTAGTATTTAAATATAAGAAGCTAATGTTAAGATTGCTTTAACAAAACTTGTTCAGTATTGACAAACATGAGAATGCTATAAAAATAGTACTCAGTATTCAAACATGAGAATGCTATAAAAAATGGTAATCAGTATTCAAAACATGAGATGCTATAGAAATGATATTCAGTATTTGAATTTTGAAAATGCTATAAAAATGATTTTCAGTATTCCAATTTTGAAAATGCTATAAAAAATTATATTCAGTATTCAATCATGAGAATGTAATAAAATATTATTCAGTATTCAAAATGTGAATGCTATATATAAAAAAAAATAATAATATTCAATATTCAAAGTTTCAAACAGGAGAATACTTTAAAAATGATATCCAACATTCAAAGTTCAAACATGAGAATTAATGCTATAAAAATGATATTCAGTGTTCAATGATGAGAATGCTAAAAAAATTTATTAACAGAGATCAATGATGAGAATCCTATAAAAATGATATTCAATATCAAAGTTTCTGAAATGAGAAAGCTACACCAGATTGATAAAAAATAGATTATGAACATCATAGGAGATGCATTCAGTATTGTAATTCAGAGTGAAGAAGAAACAGCCTGTACGACAATATGCCAATTAGGGAATGTGGAGCAAAGGTTCTCCACGAGGGATGAGACTTGGCGTCTCATTTGTAGCTGTTGTTGTGAAAGGTCTGCATGGGGGATAGCCCATGTGCTAGTAGATTAGCAAGGGTATACCAAAACTACCCAAATACTCCCACTATTGACAAAGATACAGCTATGCGTAGGAACTATTTTGTTTAAAATATGTACTTCCTTCTTGTATGTTCTTTCCGACTTGGCCTGAATTAGTGGTTCTATACCTTAACCCTTACCATGCTGAGCCCGTCATATGACGGGATGACCCAGACCACCGTTATTTGGCTCTAATGGCTCTCCATACTTTTAGAGGTCAACTTTATGATACTTATTTCGAAATGGATGCATGTTCCCTCAACCTGAGGCTATTTATTGTCATGTTTCTCATGTTTAAGTAGCATTTTGAGCTCAAATACAAACTTGGAAAATTGAAATTGGATAAAACTGGTTTTTCTGGAGGGGTGGGCTTCCCTTCTGTGTCTTACACAGGAAGTTCAGAGGCCTAAAACTTTCAAAAATAGTGTAAACCCGCAGACATAGATTTACTGATCATAATTATTTTTGAAATACGCAGAGGAACCGACTACTTCCGGTTTCAGGTCCAGTTGAAGTCCAAAATCGGAAAAATCGTGAAATTCCGTATTTTTTGTCCAAATGACCTTCTTTAGACTGGTGTTCCCAGATCAGTTTCACTCCAACCTAAGAACTGTTGGGGTTAATGTGTTTACTGGGGTTAACTGTACATGCAGACTACAGATGGATACCTATATCAGCATCCCTCGGTCTTTGGGGTCAAGTAATAGGACGAAAAATCGTCAAAAATGACGCTTTTTGCACCTGATGACCAACTTTGGGGCAAATTCCCACCCACCAACACCCACCTCGTGACCCTAACCACCCCGCCCCGTGATCCCCTCCTTAGATTTAAAGAAATCAATATGCTTCAGCAGCAGGGTAAAGCTCATTTGCATATAATTTGCATATTTTTGCAAATAAACGAAAATTATACTTTTTCTGAAAACAATTCAGCATGGTAAGTGTTAAGAGGAGTCATTTCACAATTTCAGCCATGTTGTCATATTTGTAAATCTTGTTGAGCTTAACATCTTTGTTAATTATAAATTCTCTCTGCCTATAATGGTTTCTTCAAAAAATTATCTTTCAAGGGCAACAACTCTTAAAAGCAGACAAATTGAAGATTCCCCCATGTTGACAAATGTGTACATCATATTGTGTTGAACATTTTTACTGTCGAGGGATTATCTCTATCAACAATAGTTTCCTAAAAAAAAGGCCAAAAGGGTAAAAAACTTCATTTGAAGGCAATAAGTGCTACAAGGGGTCATTTGACAATTTATGCAAAGTTGACTAATTTGAAGATCTTAATGTTAAGGTCATTTTTACTGTTCAAAATTTCTCTCTATCTGTTATAGTTTTCAAGATAATCATCACTACCTGTCATGGTTTTCAAGATAATAACCCAAAACTGTGAAATATGCATTTCGAAGATAGTGACTCCGATTTTTCTGAAAATTCTGCAGAAGATGTTGATCATTTTAACTTGTGTCAGATTTCCTGAAAAGTTTACAACGACAACGATGACTACGGAATATAAAATGAAATTTGAGATTTTAAAAATAAAATACTGACATGTTTGCTATATTTGATTATCTGAATCAATTCAAAAAGGGAACAACCAGGATGATTTAAACTTTCCCACAGGTACAATAGCACCATAATTGTTGTTCACAAAACAGTGCTTCTGTATAGCCTTCTTGCCCAATTTGTTTGTTATGATGATTTGATTGCTGGACTTCATATATTTTGAAGGGGTAATATCCACAGTTGAACTGTCTGTCAATCAGAGACAACAGTAGTTTACGGATATTCAAATCTCTAAAATCCATTCTCATAAAAATTCAAGACAACAACAACTGAGGGAATTGCATAGTCTTATCAACAGTGAAGCATCCGTCTCCTGCTATGCATTCATCACCCACCACAATCAGTCAAAATGTCACTACTGTAGATTCATTATTATTCATGGGAATGGGATACCAATTTTTGTGGGTGTAGATGAACCACAAATTTATATGTTCAACAAATTACAATTTTTCTATAGGCTTGTAACCAGTTTTTGCTAAACAACAACAACAAATTTTCCTCAATCCACTAAAATTGGTACCCCACATTATCTGGAAGGAGACACTATGTGTAAATTCACAGATCTTATGACTTTCCTGTTATCTAACGATCTAAGACCACAAAATCATGTTATAGTGAGTTGAGACGCAGACACAGTTTTGGTCACCAGTTTCATAATTGTGACCGTAAAACTTGTAAGTGTCGATTTAAGTTGTAACTAAGGGAAGCCACAATTTTTAATTCTGAAATTTATCCATTTGTGATTTCTTCAGTTATAAACAAAATTGAGAATGGAAATGGGGAATATGTCAAAGAGACAACAACACGACAAAAGAGCAGAAAACAGTCCAAGGCCACCAATGGGTCTTCAACACAGCGAGAAAATCCCACACCCGGAAGGTGGGCTTCAGCTAGCCCCTAAACAAAAATGTGTACCAGTTCAGTAAAAATGGACGTCATACTTAACTCCAAAACATATAAATGAACCAAAATTAAAAAAACATACAAGACTAACAAAGGCAAAAGGCTCCTAACTTGGGACAGGCGCAAAAATATGGCGGGGTTAAACATGTTTTGTAAGATCTCAACACTCCCCCTATACCTCTAGCCAATGTAGAATAAACGAACACACAGCAATACACACAGTCCATTCTCACCTAAAATTCTTCATTTTTTTCAAATTTGATTCAACTCTGAAAAACACAAGGCTTAAAAATGTTTAATGTTTATGTTTAACACAGGAAGCCTGACTTAATATTTTTAAACTGTTAGGAGATGCCAAAGTTTTGTTTCATGAAGTCGAGTTATTCAACTGAAATAAATAGAAAATTTGAATGCAAGTATACCAACAACACTTTCGGGATTGCTGCAGTAATTAAATGAGAACATGTTTCGGTGCACCGTCATCAGGATAAAAACAATACAGAAAATCGTGTTTAAGTACAAAATTGGGAAGGCATAAATTATGTCACAATGTAAGAATGGTGAGTATAAATAGAAAGTGAAAGTATACATGTATGGAAGTAAACTTGAACAAGAATGTTGAATAAAATGTGAATGTCATTGAAATTAAAATGTTTGTTGATATTATTCTGCAATAAATAGAATTTATATTATTTTGGATTGAATTAGAAATGACTGTTTTGTGTATTTCAATCTATGGCCTAAGTTAAATTTGGTTAAAGTATCGCAAATATCCTTTTCCTTATAGCTCTGCTTGGCATCACTAGATATACTCAACTTGAAACAGTAAAACCTATATTTTATTTAGCCAAAGCTTAGTACAAAACAGCTTTTTTCTCATATATAAGCAAATGCTCTTAGAAAAAGACTCATAATATTGACCATGTCTAAACATCGTCCTGGACATGCATGTAATATTTGCCACTGGAAGTTAAACAAACACCAGTCAATCAAGCAACATTTTTCTAAGTAACAAAAGGTTTTAAACTATATCAGACAAGCAAAAATTTCTACTACCTGTATTTATTTCCAGAATTAAAAAAAAATAAATCTTATTTCAAATGTATTCACTTGCAAAAATCAAGTTGAAAAACCATCTTTTGTACAAAATGGCATACTGCTGGTAAATCTAAAGAAGCTGTCACATGGTGCAAGCATGAGGTAAGCAAGCTACCACTAGACCACAGAGGCTGTCGGCAAATATAGAAAAATCTGGTCAACTAAATTAAGTAAGAGATCATAAAGATTCTATGAAGAAAAAGAACATTTTTAGCTGAGAAGTGAAAGAAAGATTGTTAAAGATCCAAAATCACTTTTACTTCAAATATATAACAATTACAGTATTATTGATATATTTAAAAAGTTCAAGAAACTTTCTCATAACAAGGGAGTTTTTACTCTATCTCTACAAAAATCCTAGGCACTCAATTTTTTCCAATACACGTATTATAAAAATTATTCACTGACAATCATTTAAGCAAAAATATATAAGTAAACACTATTTAGACGTTCCAAATTATAAAAAGTTTCCTCAAGTTTCTACTTATAGCTACATATAAAAGTTGCTAAAGATTGAACAATTTTCAAATGAAATCTCCCATGGTTTGTTGAATCCATAATTAGAAACTTTACTCTGGCAAAAAAAAAACCTTGTTTTGTGTAGTTCAGTTATATTTAAAACAAGAATGTGTCCATAGTACACAGATACACCACTCGCACTATCATTTTCTATATTCAGTGGACCGTGAAATTGTGGTCAAAACTCTAAGTTTCAAGTTGATTAGACTTCAACTTCATCAAAAACTACCTTGACCAAAAACTTTAACCTGAAGCGGGACAGACAGAGGGGCGGACAGACGGACGGACGAACAGACGAACAAACGGATGCACAGACCAGAAAACATAATTCCCCTACTACTATCTTAGGTGGGGTGTAATAAATGAACAATGTAATCTGAAAACAATGTAAAATAGGGTGTTTTTGCATGGGGTTTTATATGTATATTGGTCAGGTTGGAATTGTCTCTCTTTCATCTCAATTATTATGGAAATGGAAACAGGAAACAGGCTATAATTTCTTACATCCACTTAATTTGAACTTGGGTGGATAGTTGTCTCATTGGCAATCATACCACATCTCCTTATTTTTATATTAAAAATGTTTCAGTTAAAAAATGAACAGAGCAGTTTTATTACCATATCTTGTAATAAATATAAAAAAATATGGTCATAAAAAATTAAATAAATTGAACCCTTTAAATAAATTGAAGTTTAATCTTGAAAACTAAAATAAGTTGAAGGAAATCTTTGAACAGCAAAATTGACCTACAAATAAGTAAATATGAATGAAGCAAGGATTTTTAAAATCAAAAAGTAAAAATCAACTTTATATTGTTTTTTCATGCATCTGCAGTTTTAAATGAGTCCCTGTTACTTGACACTCGCATAATATCACATTAATTTAATCTTAAAAACCCTTCAAATTGAAATATAAAATATCTAAATTAGAATACATCCAACCATTCAAAAGTTTACCTTTAATTTACCTTTATCCCAGGTAAGTGTACCAGTTATTGGACATTTTACTTCCCTGTGGATATTCCTTTTCTAGAGCACCAGCAGTCAAAATATTTGGGGTAATAATGTGTTTTGAAATTAGGGGTATAAAATAATGAGACAGCAATCCAACAATATACAAACAGAAGATATCTGCAGGACAACATATGAACTTTAACCACAGAAAAGCTGTGTAAAATTATTCAAGCTTCAATATTGATCATTTTCACTTTTGTCATTCAGGAGTTAATTATGGCCCTTTATTGCTATTACAATGACAGCAATAAATGTAATAAAAACCTGGTTTGCTGCCATTTTGACAGCCTCTTGTTATTACATTTATGAGGCCATTGTTTAAGGAATTGAGGATCATAACTCCTAAAAATAAACCCCTCTGGTATCAATAATGTTAAAATTGACTGCCAAAGTGCATAAAACTGCTTGTTAAGTATTATAAATGCCAGATCAACATTTTATGGTCAAATTAATGTTGAAATCAATTTCTAAATTCAGTCAAGTTTGTATTAGGCGCATCACATTACTGTGCTGCTAACAGTGGCAGAGCCTGGATTTTTAAAAAGGATGATGCCTGGAGTGGGGTAGAGGCAACAGAAAAACTAGAGGCTCTCAAGAGCCTGTGTCGCTCACCTGATTCTACTTTGGTTTTGGAAATCATGTAAAAATAGATTAAAATCATAACAGATACCCTAATAATGAGTGAGGCCAAATTTGGTTTAATATTGGTCCTGTAATTTAATAAAAAAAACCTGGTGGCCATCTTGAACAGTAAATTGGCAACAAAGTAGCAACACTTAATCAGCACCTCATAAGAAACATTTATGCCATGTTTTGGTTTCATAGCATTCAGTGCACCTCTAGAAGAAGCATTTGTATGTATTTCCCATAGGGTCTTATGTTAAAGGAAGTCCCCCCATTGGCGGCCATCATGGATGAAGGATCAGCTTCAAAGTAACAAAACTTAGTCAGCACCTCATAAGGAACATTCATGCCATGTTTGGTTTCAATCCATTCAGTATGTGGTTCTCTAAAAGAAGACATTTGTATGTATTGTCCATAGGGTCCTTTGTTTAACATTGTCCCCATCTGGCAGCCATCATGGATGAAGGATCAGCTTCAAAGAAACAACACTTGGTCAGCACCTCAAAAGGAACATGCATGCCATGTTTGGTTTCATTCCATTCAATGGTTCTCTAAAAGAAAACATTTGTACGTATTTCTCATAGGGTCCTATGTTAAACTAAGTCCTCCACTGGCGGCCATCTTAGAATATGGATCGGCTTCATAGTAACAACACTTGGTCAGCACCTCATAAGGAACATTCATGCCATGTTTGGTTTCATTCCATTCAGTGGTTCTCTAAAAGAAGACATTTGTATGTATTTCCCATAGGGTCCTATGTTAAACTAAGTCCCCCGCTGGCGGCCATCTTGGATGATGGATCAGCTTCAAAGTAACAACACTTGGTCAGCACCTCATAAGGAACATTCTTGCCATGTTTGGTTTCATTCCATTCAGTGGTTCTCTAAAAGAAGACGTTTGTATGTATTTCCCATAGGGTCCCATGTTAAACTAAGTCCCCCGCTGGCGGCCATCTTGGATTATGGATCGGCTTCAAAGTAACAACACTCGGTCAGCACCTCATAAGTAACAACACTCGGTCAGCACCTCATAAGGAACATTCATGCCATGTTTGGTTTCATTCCATTTAGTGGTTCTCTTAAAGAAGACATTTGTATGTATTTCCCATAGGGTCCAATGTTAAACTAAGTCCCCTGCTGGCGGCTATCTTGGATTATGGATCAGCTTCATAGTAACAGCACTTGGTCAGCACCTCATAAGGAACATCCATGCTATGTTTGGTTTCATTCCATTCACTGGTTCTCTAAAAGAAGACATTTGTATGTATTTCCCATAGGGTCCCATGTTAAACTAAGTCCCCCCGCTGGTGGCCATCTTGGATTATGGATCTGATTCAAAGTAACAACACTCGGTCAGCACCTCATAAGGAACATTCATGCCATGTTTTGGTTTCATTCCATTCAGTGGTTCTCTAAAAGAAGACATTTGTATGTATTTCTCTTAGGGTCCCATGTTAAACTAAGTCCCCCGCTGGCGGCCATCTTGGATTATGGATCGGCTTCAAAGTAACAACACTGGGTCAGCACCTCATAAGAAACATTCATGCCATGTTTAGTTTCATTCCATTCAGTGGTTCTCTAAAAGAAGACATTTGTATGTATTTCCCATAGGGTCCTATGTTAAACTAAGTCCCCCGCTGGCGGCCATCTTGGATGATGGATCTGCTACAAAGTAACAACACTTGGTCAGCACCTCATAAGGAACATTCATGCCATGTTTGGTTTATTCCATTTAGTGGTTCTCTAGAAGAAGTTCAAAATGTAAAAAGTTAACGCCAACGCCGGACGACGACGGACGACGGACGCCAAGTGATGAGAAAAGCTCACTTGGCCCTTCGGGCCAGGTGAGCTAAAAAGTTGCCTAGAAAAGGAGACACAACTGGGAACAGTTAAAATATTCATAATTGGAAAAAAAAACACAAATTTTTGGCCAAAAAAGGGAGGGGGCGACAACCTTGTTCCCTTTTTCTGCCCTTCTTACTTATAAAGGTTTTCCTTAGAGTAGAGTAAATTTTTCTTGATTGAACTGAATGTTTTGGCAGATTTAAATACTGATACTTTATGTTTAGGCAAACTCTTAACAATAAAAGTATTTCAAATGGAATGACTTGTTTGATGTCATACTTGTAAACACAAGAGTGCACACACTGAAATGTCTTGCCTGTTTAGAACATTCTTGGTTTAATAGCTTCCTTGTAAGAAGCAACTCTCTATCAAGAATCATGATAGGAAAAGCGAGCCCTGGAATGTCATATCAACTTGGAGATATATACTCTATATGTAGGCTCTGCTGTAATGTTGCTACAAAGAAATGGACCATTCACAACTGGAAAGCTGAAATCATCTGATTTGTCATAAAGTTTTGATCTCAACTGACCCTCATTGTAATTGGTATCCTTTATTTCAAGTTTGATGGGATAGATGCATTCAACATAGTCACTTAACTTTGAATTATTTTAAGTGAGAGGACATTCACCTTTATATCAGAACTTGAAGTTTCATATGAATAAGGATATGTATATTCAAAGTAAACATGTATCTTTTATGAATTTTATAATCCTAAATCTGAAAATAGCCATTATAAGTCAACTACTATAAAAGTCATGCTATCTGTAATCTTACTACATGTTATTATGTATTTTCTCTCTTAATAAGTTGATTCTTGGTGATAGTGCAGTCTGCATTTATCATTTGATATCTTTCAAAAACACTTATTTTTTTTCTACTCTAAATTTCAGAAATCAAAAGAGAGAATATGGCCTCATCAGATAGGGACTTTTGCACTCTATGTTATGATGATGATGGCTCGTCCACAGAAGCTGTCACATGGTGTATAGAATGTGAGGTGTTCCTTTGTACAGACTGTGAAAAACATCACATAAAATCAAGAACATCTAAAGACCATAAAACTATCTCAACTAAAGACTATCATAAATTACCAAAATTCATGCAAGAAATAAGTAGCCAATGCAAAGACCACAAGAAACAGTTTGAACTGTATTGTTCTTTCCACGACTGTCCCTGCTGTGTCACATGCATCACCGATCATCACAAAAAATGTCAAGAAATGAAACCACTGTCAGACATCCTAATGCAAGTAAAATCATCTGCTTCAGTTCAGCTTTTTGAGAAAGATTTGAAGAATGTGAAGGAAGACTTTGAAGAGATTATAAAATACTTGAACAGCAGGATTAATACAAGCAACAGTCAGAAAACAAAAGCCTCTGAACAAATTCGATTTGTGAAGAAGTCGAAAGATGATTTCTTAAACAAATTAGAACAAGAAATTTTTGATGACCTAGAATCAAAGCAATCGCAGCTAAAATCTAAGATGACCTTCTTACTACAACAAGTGACACAGCAAGCCAATGAGATCAGCCAATTACAAAGTGAGTTTTCAAAAATGACACAATATGCAACTGAGCTACAAATGTATGTTGGTCTAAGAGAAGTTGAGAAAACTACATCCAAAGCAGCAAAATACATAGATGAATTAAAAAGTGGAGACAATTTTGAGGAAAAGAACTTAGAGGTAACCATTTCATCTTCCCTGCAATCAATTTTACAAGAGGTCAAATCGTTTGGTTACATTAATATTAATACCAGCTCTTCTACTCTTAGCATAAAGGCCGGAAGAAAAGATCAAGCACAGAACTTAGTTCCAACGGTACAAAGAATCGAAGAAATTAAACCGTCCATGTTGAGAACTCTGACAATTGCAGAAGATATGAAATCTACAAGTGTACTCGTTAGTAGGATATTACCTAATGGTAAATATCTAACTCTTAATCACTATGATAAATATAAAAGTCATGCCCTGCTGCTATTTGGTAATGATGGCATCTTTGAAAGAAAAGTACTTACATTCACAGAGAATCCATACAGTGCTTGCTATGTCAGAAATAATACTGTGGCTGTTACATTACATTTAACAAACCAGACATCACTGGTGGATGTAGAAAAGAATAAAATTATTCAAATAATCACACTTTCTCATCACTGTAATGGAGTAGCAAGTGATGGTCAAATATTGGTCATCAGCAGTAAGGAGAAAAGTACTATGGTTAATCTGAATGATATGTCTCATACAATCTTAGAAGGAGTTACAGCAAATTGTATTTCATTATTCCAAGGAAATATATATGGTACCATTTTCTCTGCAAACAAAGTCTACTGCTACAAAGAAACTGGAGAACTTCTCTGGACATTTCAACACAGGGACATTTACGGTCCAGAAGAACTTACATTAGACAAGAATGGCTTTGTTTATATAGCTTCTCACGAAAACAACAACATCGTGGTAGTGTCACCAGATGGTAAAACCTGTAAGACAATACTATCAGAGGCTGATGGAATCATTAATCCTGTACATATAGACATACACAGAGAAACAGGAATGATGATTGTGTCAAGTAAAATGAAGAAAACAAGAGTTGAGAATGATGATAGTGGTGATTATTACGAAACAGCTTTTGTTTATAAAATCTAAAATATGAATTTTTAGAGACTTGTATGCAGACAACACAACTATAATGCATACATCAGGAAAGTGTATTGCTGATATGCAATTTAAAGTACAAAATGACTTCTAGTGCGTTGACAAATAGTGTTAAGAAAATAAGATGTTCATGAATTCTGACAAAGTGCATGGTGGTAGCTAGGTTCAAGACAAAAGACTTTGTTTCCAGCAAGAAGAACTGGTTCTAAAAATTTAAAACAATGTTCTTCAAAAATCATTGAGTAAAAAACTTTAAGGTGTTAGAATTGATCCTTGTCTCTCATGGACAGGGCATATTACTGAGCTTGACTATAAGTATTGTTTTCCTCCTATTGCAGTTCATTCAAAATTCTGACCCAACTGCTATTTGTTTTATCAAATCAAACACTTCAACTGGTCAGAAATTTTAACCAACTGCAGTAGAAAACCACAGTCAAGTCATCAAAGTGCAAGGTGATAAAACAAAGCATATTTACAATCCTATATGACTTTAATTCCACTTCATTGCTGTTATGAAAATATGGCTCAAATTTCTATACATAACATAATGTTATTGTAAAGAGTCATAACAGGTGAGAGGTAGTCATTTTTGAATTGCTAAAAAATGTCCAAATTGAAGTTTAAGTGAATATTTTAAATACTTGGTGAAATATACATACTTGTAAAATGTACTTTAATATCAAATATGTTCTCTTGAAGTTTCAAAGGGAGATAAGATCAATATTTAAAAGATCAATGATTTTAGATTATCTCCCATGGAAAATTATTAACAACATATTGTAATTTCATATATATTTTACTGAATATAACATGTTTTACCTCAAAATTATGTCTGATTCATATGAATACAAAAGACTTTTTTTAAAGAAAAATAGTATGAAAGCCTTGTCTGGACATTTTTATAGCAATTCAAAAATTACTACCTCTAACCTTTAAAATGACTCTTTACAATAACAATATGTATAGAAATTTTTAGTCACATTTTCATCATAGCAATGAAGTGGAATTTAAGTCTTAAAGGATTGTAAATCTGCTCTATTTTATCACGTTGCACTTTGATGACTTGACTGTGATTTTCTACTGCAGTTGGTTAAAATTTCTAACCAGTTGAACAGTTTGGTTTGATAAAAAAAATTGCAGTTGGGTCAGAATTTTGAATGAACTGCAATAGGTGGAAAGCAACACTTACAGTCACAGTAATAATGTTTCTTCATCTATTTCACCTAGACTCTTATTTATTTTCTCATATAAGGTAAACAGAGTCTAGATGAAATAGATGAACATAAGTTACTAAATTAAACAAAATTTAAATATTGGTTCCAAAAAGTTATTATATAATGGCTGTATTCCCCAACTGATTTATTATTGTTAGTGTTGTACGGAAAGATTGTGCTAAAAAATACCTAGTGAGATTAATCAAATTGCATAAAAGGGCGACAAGACTTATTTTAGATGCTGATCCATGTTCAGCCTCAGTAGGGTGCCCAGTCAAAGAATTTGATTGATTTGGGTTAACGGAATAATACACGGCTGTATTTTCTATCATTGGAAAGAGGAGAACAAGCCTCATTGGAATATTGAAGTCGTCGTTGTCTACAATGGTAACGATTTTCTTAAATATGGGTCAAAGGTCAAAGCTAAAATATCGGAAAATGCAGAGTCACTTTTAGACAGCTGACCCCCCCTATATATATGCATTTATAGCAAAATAAAATCAAATAATTCAAAGGATTATAACTAAGTTTCTATATTTTGGACTAATTTGATATTTCTGCTGCCAAATATGGTTCGAGATTGACATTTGTACTTAAGTATTAAGGATATTTCCAAATTCGGAATTTTTACATAAGATTCGATACAAGTGATCTCTAGAAATGTTTTTTAGATATTAACATTTATAAGTTGCCCTCACAAAATGTAATTAATTCCGTCTTTTGCTAGAAGGTGTTCGCAATGATTTTCTGAGTAAATACCGAATTTACTTTTGGTGAGTGTGGAAGCACATCAAATTGTACTTAGTTCCAAAACTGGTGTAATATTAATGCAGAATGGATTGAATTAGCAGGTCTGAGTATATCTTTACTTTATAGAAATAAGAAATACTGCAAACGGTGAAAAAGGTCGAGGGTTGTCTGTTATGAAAACAAAATGACAATTAGAAACAGGTTAATCACTCAATCTTATACACTTATAGGAGTTATTGGGCATACATTGGCCTACAATTGACATGAAGTTAAAGATTATCTACAAAAAGAGGGTTATGTACAGCATCAATGTATTTTACAAACATTTGTAAACAACATCAATCTAATTAAAATATAGATCTCTGATATCGTTATCCTCATATCAACTTGCATATACGAGCACGCAAGTTAATTTAGACCAGAATTTTAATCAGATTGAAACAGCATAGACAAATTGCCGAAGCAGGTAGTAGCTATTACGTTTCATTGTCTACTGTTAAGTTGAAAGCCCACCGACCAGGTCTAGGTTAGAGAGCTAATTTCAGTTGTTCTTTTTTATACGCATTCCACACAAGTCGCAGAATGCAATCTGATGGTGGCGGCAACAACACCGTAAACTATTTGTATAGCTTTATATTTCAAAGGGTAGAGGAATTGGATGATTCATACTTTGTATGCAGATCCATTGTGTTATGAAGTGCTCAGTCTGTCATATAACAATTGTCCTTGACCTCATTTTCATGGTTCAGTGACTGCTAAAAACCTATATAGCTTTTTTTTTCGTCATGTGAATGTCTAACTTATGAGTTCTAGGATAACTATTTGGTTACTTATATATGGTATCTTTGAAAGGTCTTCATGTCCGTCAGACATGGTTCACATGACATTGACCTCATTTCGTGGATCAGGGAACAAGCTTAAATTTCAGTGGTCAAGTCTGTATTTCCGATACTATAAGTAGTGGGTCAAATATGTTTGGTTTATGGAATGATAGCAAGGTGTACATGTCTTTGTGGCAGAGTTCATCTGACCTTACCTCATTTACAAGGAACACTGATAATGTTAATTTTATGTAATACATGTTGAATAATATAAAAATAAGGAGATGTGGAATGATTGCCAATGTGACAACAGTCTATCAAAGTTCAAATGAAATGGAAGTAAGCAATTATAGGCAACTGTAAAACCTTCAAAAATAAGAAAAACCCATACCATATGGTCGGCTATAAAGACCCTGATATGAAAAACTTGAAACAATTAATTTTAGAAAACTATCGGCCTAATTTATAACAAAACAATTTATAAAAAAAAAAATATGACAAGACATGAACCAACAATAATCATTCAATACTGGCTCGATCCTCACTTGGGACAGGAATATAAAGAATGCACACAATCCTTTTCTCTTAGACTTTCGACATAATTAAGTCAGTTAGTAAAGCATGCTGTACCAGTAGAATCCTAGTTTTTACAGTAATGATGTTTATAATCATACTTTTCTCAGACTATTGATAACTTCCTTTCATTAGCTTTCGGTAAGGGTACGACCATTTGATTTTGAAAGGGGGAGGGGGAGGATGATTTTAAAAATGAATAACTTGGCCTGGTATGAACTGAAAATGTATGACTTTGCACACGACAGGATGAAAATGAATACTCTGCAACATGAAATGCAGGATAGTTGAGATACAAATGTGTATTAAAGTGAAAATAAATTTTCGTGCAGAAAAGCCACAGAAAAATAAGCATGCATAGCAACAGATGAAATAAAATGCTCCGCAGGGTGCAGCTTGATATGACCGCAGAGGTCGAACCCTGAACAGTTGGGGCAAGTATGGACACAACATTCAAGCTTGATACAGCTTTGCATTTGGATTGTATTAAATATTTGACATAGCATAGGTTTCTGACACAGAATGAATGTGATCTAAGAACTTAAAAATTTTAAATTGGACATTCACCTATTATGGTCCAATATCCAAAATCTAAATACATGGTTAGATTCAGCATATCAAAGAACCCCAAGAATTCAATTTTTGATGAAATCAAACAAAGTTTAATTTTGGACCCTTTTGACCTCAATGTGGACAAAGTTGATAATTGGGCCCAAAAATCAAAAATCTAAATACATGGTTAAACTCAGCATATCAAAGAACCCCATATATTCAATTTTTGTTGAAATCAAACAAAGTTTAATTTTGGACCCCGATTTGGACCAACTTGAAAACTGGGCCCATAATCAAAAATCTAAATACACGGTTAGATTCGGCATATCAAAGAACCCCAATAATTCAATTTTTGATGAAATCAAACAAAGTTTAATGTAGGACCCTTTGGACCTCAATGTGGACCAATTTAAAAACGGGGCCCAAAATCCAAAAACTAAATACACGGTTAGATTCAGCATATTAAAGAACCCCAAGAATTCAAGAATAAAACCCCATTGAAATTGGTCAAGAAATAAGCAATTTATACGAAGTATCTTCTTTTGCACAATATTGTGCAATTAAATATTTCTTGCTATTGCGCAATACTGTACAATTGACAATTTCTTGCTATTGCGCAATATTGTGCTATTGGATATTTCTTGCTATTGCGCAATACTGTGCAATTGAAGATTTCTTGCTATTGCGCAATACTGTGCAATTGAAGATTTCTTGCTATTGTGCAAATGAAAATTTCTTGCTATTGCACAATACTTATTATATAATAATTTACACATCCTGTTTGGTGTGTATCTCCTACCATATCATTATTATTTGATTTTAAATATAAATCAGAAATAACCAACTTAAAATGGAAAATTTTAAAAGAAAAAAAAGGAAAAAAAGAAAAAAAAGGAAAAAAAAAATCCCCCCCCCAAATTTTTTGAACCCCCTTATGATTCATCACTCCCAAACTCAATCCCAGCCTTCCCTTTGTGGTATGGTACCTTGCAGTACAATTTCAGAGAGATCCATACACTTGAACACAAGTTATTGTCTGGAAACTAGAAAAATGTGTTTTTTGGCCCCTTTTTGGCCCCAAATTCCTAAACATTTAGGGCAATTACCCCCAAACTCAAACCCAGCTTTCCCTTTGTGGTATGGAACCTTGTAGTACAATTTCAGAAAGATCCATACACTTACACACAAGTTATTGTCCTGAAACTAGAAAAATGCTTTTTTTTTCCCTTTTTGGCCCCTAATTCCTAAAATATTGAAGCAATTACCCCCATCATCAATCCCAGCCTTCCCTTTGTGGTATGGTACCTTGCAGTACAATTTCAGAGAGATCCATACACTTGAACACAAGTTATTGTCTGGAAACTAGAAAAATGTGTTTTTTGGCCCCTTTTGGGCCCCCAATTCCTAAACGTTTCGGCAATTACCCCCAAACTCAATTTCAGCTTTCCCTTCGTGATATGGAACCTTGTAGTACAATTTCAGAAAGATCCATATACTTACACAC